TTGAAAGCGAAAAGCATTACATGACCTCACACTCGCTTCCTGACTAACACTCTTGACTATATCTTTGTTACGAGGCCGTATAACACACACGTTATATCTGTGTGGTGGTTAATCAGTGGCTATCCATGTCAACTCCTTCATGACTAGGAAAAGCATGTTAACACTGATTTATGGACCCGTGAGTACTAATAGTACCAATAAATGATGGATTCATCAAAATTAAAATGATCAAAGTGGCATGAATTTAAGGTTGTATAATCAAAATTGGTTGAGTGTGAAATTTTGTGTCTTGGTGATTTCAATAAAATTTTTATGAATAGTGTTTTTATTTTAGTACATACTATATTAGATTAATGTTTTCTATATTGTTTGATTGTTTTATAAAATGAGGATTTGGTGGGGCGGGAATACTCACCTTTACAATTATTTTCAAGTAATGAAAATGAAGAAACAAAGAAAGTAGACCATAATAGTATGATCAATGAAGATTGATCCATTATAAGATCATATTCTTAGTTGTATTGTAAGGAAGGATTTACTCTGTTAGGACCTCTGAAGCCCAGATACTTGAAAAATGGCAAAGTACCTGTATCGGACACGTATTTGATACCGATACGTGTCCGATACGCTTAGATACGTACCCCAGAAGTATCGAAAATTAAATTTAAACCCGATACGGTTGGGAAACAGCTTGGATACGATTATAAATAGTCTGATACGGCTGGGAAACGACTCCAAATTGGCTCGGCTAAAAACAATGGTCAGCTTGTAAATTATTTACAATATTGAAACGGGGAGTTTCAATCTGTCTTTCATTTCCCCATTTCAGCTATTATTCTTGAGTTAGGAAGAAAACCAGAACTCACCCAAAAATCAAAATCAGCTAGGATTCAAAACTCACCCATTTTCCCATTTCCCTATTTCCGTTGTTGTTTTGAGGTTTGATTCCGGGCTTCACAGTTCTTGAACTTTCTTCTGAACTTTGTAGCCGTATATCAACGTTGAAATGGAAAGTACCCAGAAAGTAAAGCGAAGAGGATAACCCCGCACAACCATATATCAACCTTCGACCCATTGTATCCTTTCTTCTTCAGCACCTCTGGCGTCGTGTAAGCCGACATTCTGCACGGCGTGAGGAGCATCCCATTGGATCTCTGCTGCTCCGGCAAGACAGAGAGGGCAAAGTTGGAGACCTTGAGTTCCTCGTTCTCGTTAAGGAGTAGATTATCGGGCTTCAAGTCACAGTGGGTGTGTTCTGAACTTTGTTCCTCTTCTCTCTTCTCTGGACTTCAGCAACAATTTTAACGTTGTTTCTCTATTGCTGTAGCGGTAAAATCTTACAAACTTCCTATTCATTTTACAGCAACAAAGTAAAAATGTTATTCTTGCATTTTTCAACAGCTGTATTTGATGACAAAAAATGAGTTTTAGTTTTGACTCTAATTTTAGAATTCCAAATAACTTTGGTTCATTAGATCTTGAAGATGATCATGCTCCACTTTGGGCATTTGTCACTATAAAGGATAAGCTAGGAGATGGAGGAGGGAACAAGCTATGGAGCTGTAATTTTTGTGATAAAGTGGTCAAAAGTTCATACTCAAGAGTGAAAGCACATTTACTTAGAATATTCGGTGCTGGTGTTGCTCTGTCCTAAGGTCACTCCTGAGTACTTGGCTGATTTGAAGAGAATTTGTGAAGAAGCTGAGAATAAAATTAAGCCCAAAACTATCTGACTACCTTCAGCAGCTCCAGCAAATCTAACACATTAATATAAATTAATTATCAATATCTCTTTATAAATATTATTTCTTTAAATTCATGTTAAAGTATCTAAGCCATATCATATCTTGAAATTTAAATTTTTTTCGTATCCCTGTATCTGTATCGTATCTGTGTCGTATCAAGAATCCAGGCTTCATAGGTTAGGACTTATTCCGATTTTGTAATAATTTTTTAGTCCTAATGAAAATTGAAAATGATGTGTACCTATTTTAAGTGTCAATGCTTAGAATATGTAATTATTTTGATAAATCTTGTCATAAATAGTGAACTAAGAGGTATTTGTAATATTCAGTAGGTAATTATTTTACTTGCAATTTACATTCGACTATAGTTAAGAATTTAAATTGTGAAAATCAGTTTTTATCTTTACTATAAATGAGACTTACGTGTAACGTTTCAAAAATTTTACTAACTTAAATTAGTCTTAGATTTATATAAATGCAAACTTTTCTAATATCAATCATATTCTACCTATTTCAATTAAGTTTTATTGAAAATTATATATAAAACAAAGGAAAATAGTTAAAAGAGAAAGAGCATCACAGTAATCACTGCTTCGACTTGTTGCTTCCAACGTAAAAATTCTTCTCAAGATGCACAAAGATGGTATGCAAGAAAGTGATTGGAGCATTGAAAGATGCAGTGGTGAAACACCATTTTGGGGGGACTGAAAGGGTTCTTTTGTGTAGCCATGGCTCAGGATTGTGAACAAGCTCTTGATAGTTGATACCATGTTGAAATCCAGAGCTCAAGAGAAAAGAGAGAGAGGAGAAAGAACTGTTCTGAATCTGAATGTAATGCATAGATTGATCAAAATGTTTACAATCTGACATTGCATAGGGTAACTAATCCTAGCTATCTAACTATCACATTCTGTTAACAAACAGGAGTTGGTTACACGTGAAACTTCTAGACTCTAAACAGTTAAGTGTGCTACACTAACATATAATAAAATATTTAATTATACTTTTATTTTCCTACTAATAAGATATATTTCTTTACAAATTAATGAACTTAACATTTAAAGTATACAAATGAAAACAAATCAACTCATGAATAGTCTAACAATAGATATAGTAGGCCCAGACCCAGATTAAAACAATTTAACATACAACTTTATTACTAGAGTAATACGATGACAAGTACCAGGTAGCACTGATTTAGTGTAGCACTGATTTAGTGTATTTTAGAAGAGAAAAGAGTATTTGATGCTTTATATACTGTATGATAATATAATATGATAAATCTTTTTTTCGATGACTGATTTTAATGGAATATGATTTGATGTAATCATGTTTTGTCCTATTTTTGTAGTCAAATTTAATTTAATTTATTAGATTTTATTGGAATATGATTTGTCGTGCTATTTCCCATTTTCACCACGGCATAACGATGCAATTCAATCATCATGTGAATGGTCACAAGTCTGTTCCAACAAGCTACATGTCCATGCATAACTTAAGGTTTTGGCCCATTCCTAATTGAACTTACTAAACACCAAGTTGATCTTGGAATCTAATTATAAACAGAGACTATGAGGCAAAGAGAAAGTGGAGACATTTGAGGGATGAGCCGTCACAGATAGCTTGAGGATACAATGCTCATAGAGATCAAGTGTTCAAGACAAGACTTGAGAAAGATCCGAGGAAAATCAAAACAATAACAGAGATTGCTACTGTCTTTCTATTTCCTTTTATAGTGTTTACATTGGTTGTAGTTATGTTTCTCATGGCCAGGATGAGCTAGATCTTTACCCACAGTTAAGGGTGATTTTGAAGCCCAAGACTCTATGATTGTTTGACATAAATAACATTCTTTTAGTTTAAATGAATATTTCAAATTGTGAATCACATCACATGATGGTCATGGCTGCAACCAGAACTGCATCAAGCCATGATTGTGGGCCAATGTGGCCCACATCAGACCACAACTCAATCATGGCGGCAACTACAATTCAACTAAACTTATATTATTCATCAGAGCACTTTATTATTCTTATGCCAAATCATTCAGAGACATTATTAGATAATCCTGTTAGGTTTCTAATGCTAGCTAAGACGTACAGTGATGTGTAATTGTCCTGTTTTCTTGACCCTTAGTATCACTTTGCAATTAATGATTATGAAGATAACCTAAATTAAGGGCTTAAATGTTTGGTCCCTATAAATATTGCTTCATTTGGTTTCAGGCATTCAAAAATTGTTTCGTTTGTTTTAGTCCTCATAAAATCTAAATTTCTTTTAAATGGTACTTGATACTTAGTGGAAAGATGGCATGCATCTATCATGCACATCACTGTCTATTTTGAGATGACATCTGACATGGCATAGCTAGATGCATGCCACATTATAATTAAGACAGACCAATTTCAAAAATTTTAAAATTTATGAAGATCAAAATCAACAAAAATAATTTTAGAGGATTAAAATCATATTGAACCATATTTATGGAAACTAAAATAAATCCTACCCTAGATTAACAAATCACTTGCAAAGAGTGAGAGATCAAATGAAGAGATCTTTCTCAACTTAATGCTTCCATTGGATAAAATCATATATGAAGGACGAGATTGCTTGATATATAAGGAATCGATAGTGAAGCATCTTGTATAATGAGAAAATGGAAATTGGGGTAGTACGTGATTCTTTTGGTAATCTATTATAGTTGGTTCAATTATGATTTAAGAAATAGAATTGAAACTCTCCTAAGTGGTTCAGCTTATCCTATACAAATCTGGCAATGGAGAAAAATACCTTAATTCTTTATTCATTGTTTCTCATTCTCAGCATAATTATTTTGTTCATTATATTATCATCTTTTTTTTTAATTATTATTAATTATCTAATTTCCTGTCTATGAATACCATTAATCCTGGTAAGCTAATTTATAAAATTTGAAATCAATCTTCTCCAAGAAATGACCCTCACTCACTACATTATTCTATACGGTACAATTGCAAGATTGGCAAGATTTAAAATTCTTGGTCTCTGCACAAGTAAGCAAGTAGGGAACAACATACTTTATGTTCTTGGCATGTTGCTAGTGATAAATATTTTTCGATTAATCTAACTCTCTTGCAAAATTCAATACACGTCAATGGTAAAACAAGCATTCAAAAATTCTTTGCAAGATACCAAGTTACATATAAACAGAAAAATATAAGAAAGTAATACAAGAGAGACAAGAGGAAATAAATTAATTGAATTAGCTAAACATACCTGAAACTTTCCTTGATACATGCATTTTCATGAGAAAAAGACAATTTTTCCTGTAGGGTCCTGCATTCTTCCCTATAGGATTCCAATTCATTCCTCACCTAACAATTATATACAGATTTTATTGATTTGAGATAAGAAATTAAACTAAAAGAATGTATAATGATATTCACCAAAGAATTAAAGAAAAACTTGGGAGGTAAAGTTGACTCGTATACTCAGTTGTAGACTTGCGATTTCAACCGAGTTGAGCACAGTTCAACTAAGTTCAGCCAAAAGTGATTTTACAGTCCATCCAACTCGTTTTTACTTTTGAAATCATAATTTTACGAGTTAACACACAATTTTAACAGCCATGCTCTCTATTGGCTAAAATGGCCCCTCCATTTGTCAATTGTTGTCCACAGTTGCAATTCTTCACTGACCCCTTTATGAGCTTGATAAAAAAAATGTCTTCCTCTATGGTGATCTCATAGAAGAAGTATGTATAGAGCAACCTCCTAGATTCGTTGCTCATAGGAAGTCTTCCGAATTAGTCTGTCATCTTCAAAAATCCTTATATTAGTCAATTCGAATGATCAACTTGTAGATGTTTTCACCAAATCATTGAGAAGTCCTTGGATTAGTCATATATGTGACAAACATAGTACATATGACCTATATGCTTCAGCTTAAGGGAGAACGTTAAATATATGTAAATATAGTAATGAGGTGTTAAGATGTCTCACGTTGGTTAGGAATAGAGTCAGAATACTTCTTATAAAGGCTAGGGTAGTCCTCCTCCTAAAATATAGTTTGTGTAGCAATAGGAATAGCTAGTTCTGTCAATAAGAATAGATATTTATCTATGATGCAACAAGCTGAACATATCTTATGTAGTCAATGTGATTAGTCAATTCATGCAAAATCAATTAGACATTTACAAAACGTGAAAAGAATTCTACAATATTTGAAGTCTACCAAAGTAAGACGATTACTATTTGAGAAAGAGTGATGAGACTATTCATACAGTTATATACTCTTAAAATTAGACTTGAGTTTAATTTAATCCCAAAACTTAAGTTGAGATAAGGATTACCATAACCTTCATAAGCTTTACTTTAACCATGTTTATAGTTGATGTGAGATTTCTACAAACCTCCTCATGCTCGGGATTGGTCATCGAGAATGTGGAGATTATAGAATTATTCTTTTTTAATTACATTGGCAAAGTCACAGATCAGGTAGATGCACTAGGAAAGCTGCAGAGGTCAGATAAGTTGCACCTGAAAATCCTCAAGGCCTAGTTAATTGAACTGGAAAAATCCGTGGAGCTAATTTTTTGTTATAGTCAAGGGTGACTCTTAAAGTATGCAGTTCCTACAAATCTATTCTACAACAATAGGTCCAACACACACAGCCAGGTTCAACAGAGTACAAAGCACATCGAGATAGATCAAAACTTCAAAAAGTTAGTGGTGTTTTATCTATAATATAAATCCCTTCAAGGCTTCAATTGGCCAATGTAATGACCAAAGGATGTGCTATAGAGTGTTTTCAAGATCTTACAGGAGTTTAGGATGCTAAATATCCATTCACCAGCTTGAGGGGAATGTTGATTTGGGTCGCATGAGTACCATAATCAGCACATGATTTCCTCCTATTTATTCCTGCATAGATTTGTTTCACTAATTTTCTATATTTAGGGAAAATTTTATTTGATTGTATTTAGTGATTCTCTAATAAAAACATAATAGAATTGGCTAATAGAATTTATGTACTACTAAACAATATTCAGTTCATATTATTCAAACCAAGTTATCATTTGGTCTCTGCTCTTTTTCCTCCCCAAATAACTAAAACCCTATTATAAACATATATATATTCAAGAAACTAAAAAGGGCATTCATGTTCTAATCATAAACCATAAAAAATATAAAATGGACCAAAGCATTAAAATAAATGCAAGATAAATTACAATCTCAACAAATACTGCAACTTCAGTGATTCCCATGTATGAAACAAAATTTATAAGACAATTAGGGAAACCAATCAAGGTTTCCTACATAGCAAAGCTGTGAATCTTACTTCTGATAATTTCGTTGATAGTGATTTAATTTGCACGTTGTTTGACTTTGCTTGTTCTTCTATGGCTAGAAGAGCAGCTTTCTCTTTGGCAGACCATATTGCCCTTTCTTCCTCTATTTGCAAAAGGGCATCTGTGAGTTGCTGCAAGGTCAAGATGATGCAATGAAACAACTTCATAAGAGAAACCCCCTGTAAAAGGAAGAATCATAATAACGTGAAAGAAAATAATAATTGTTGTTTCCCTACCATAGCCAACTCTTCTTTTTCTTCCATCAATACTTTGATAGAGCTTTTCAAATTTTCTTTGTTGAGATCATATTCTTCCAATCTTTGTCTCTGGATGGACAAGAATAAGCCGCCAAATTTGATGGTTTGAATGAGAAAGCATATTAGCAATTAAACATTGTGATTGTTCAAGTGGTTAGCTACTTTTTATTGATTTCTAAACTCTACATGTAAGTCCCAACGTTAGAGTAATGAATGTCTGAAACGGACAAATGTCAATTATTCTGTTAGACAGTGAGAAGAGTACCTATAATTAGCACATATGTATAGAACTTAACAGAGATCACTAGCAAATCTCATTATATAAATCAAAATTCAAATTCTCTATTTCAATTCTCTCTCAATTTTCTAATTTTCTATTGTTTTCTCTCTAGTCTTAAATTCAATCATGGTATCAGGACAATGAAACAAGGAATCAATTTTACTAATGCAATACAGATCCAAGCAATTGTCATTAAATTTAAAAACACATCATATTCTTCTCAAAGTCCCTCAAGGATAACATCTAAGCAATCCTATGGAAAAACAGGATCTGCAAATATGGTGAATCAACGAGAGTTTTGTTTCTGAGAAAATATGGTGACAAATGAGCACCTCCCTTGGTGCTCCAAAGCTTAGATCTTAACTGCTTGACCTGAGTTTGAGTTTTAGCATGGAAATAATTGTGGATTTCCTCGTATAAATGCCAGGAATTAATATCAGTTAGCGAAGACAACAATCAGGAAGCTGATCCTGCTACGGCCAACTGAGGCAATTATCATTCACACAACTAAGATTGTGATCATCCTTAATCCAAATTAGGGATGGAAACAGGCCAGGCTTTACTCTAAACAGGCCTGGTCTGTAACATAATTATTAGGCCTGAGCCTGGCCTGTTACTTGTTAAAGGCTTTATTTTAGGCCTGCCTGACCTGTTTAAGTAGTCTGGCCTGGCCTGAAGCCTGTTAAAAAAAAATTAATATTAATAAAAATATAAATATTTTATTATTAAATTAGTTTATACATTTTTCTAATTTCTATCTATGTTCTTAATAATTATTAAATAATCATAATAATATTTATATAATTTTATAAATAATTTTTAAAATATTATTTAAGTATTAATTATAAATATTTTATATTAATAAAATTTATATTTATATTTTTTTATTTATTTTTAAAATTATATAAATAGTAAATATTTTAGTTTTATTTTAGAAACATATTTTGTTTATTTAAAGACATCTTATATTCAACAAATAAAGTTATAGTAAATATATAAAATTAATAAAAAAAAATAACATTCACACAGTTTGTTGAATCAATTAAAAGAAAATTATAAGTTTTAAAAAAAATAAATTTAAACTTACCGCAATATATATATATATATAATAATAATAATAATAACTATTAAATTAAAAAAATAATTACAAAAAATAACACTTATAAAATTTATTGAATCAGCTAAAAAAATTATTATATTTTAAAAAGTAAATAAATATAGTCATTATAAAAATTGTAAATAATAAATACTTATATTATAAAATTCATAGATGCAGAAAAATAACATATGAGCATAGGAAGAATTATTAAAATTTATATTTAAATTAAAATAACTTATATTTCTAAATTTTTATCTTAATTAAAAAATATGTGATAAAACTTAATATAAAAATTTAAATTTAATGTACTATATATATATATAATGAAAACAATAATAACTATTAAATTAAAAAATAATTACAAAATATTTAATTTTATTTGTCTCATTAAATTGTTATTTTAAATTAACAAATAAATGTAAAATTAACTACACTATAATAATAATGTAATATAGAAAATATTACTGATACAATAAATTAAAACACATACTTATAAATTACATATAAATTGATAAATTGACTAATAATTTAATTAAAACATGTGCAAGTTATAAAAATATATATTATTATATAATTTATTTATAATTATATTATTTGCTATATGGTCTGATTATATATATATATATATATATATATATATATATATATTATAATAAGGCTTTTATTTTATTTTTTTATTATTTTTTTTATAAATTTTTACTTTTAAATAAAATATAATTCAGATTTAAGCAATCTCTATTTATTATAAATAAAAAGAATTATAACATAATATATTGATATAATAATTAAATAATTAAATTAATAATAAAAAAATTAAGAGTATAAAAAATATGTTAATATAATTTTATTATTTTATTTTTAAATTTTATTTCGTTTAGTTTTGATTACGTCTTATTCCTGTTCAAAGACTTAACTATTTTTTAAATTATTTAAATATAATAACTTATTATTAAATAAATTTATTATTTAAAAAGTGTAATCATATATAAATATTTTTAATTTTTAATATAATATAATTTCTGTTTATTATAATTATAAATAAATAAAATTATAACATAATATATTAATTTAATAATAACATAATTAAAAATATAAAAATATATTATTAAATAACTTTATTATTTAAATATATTTTAATAACTCTATTTTTAAATTATAATATATATATATATATATATATATATATATATATATTTATACAGGCCGGCCTGTCAGGCTTAACAGGCTTTATAAACAGCTCAGGTCTGACTTGTTTACTTAAACAGGTCTTAAAAAAGGCCTGAGCCTGGTTTATTTATTAAAAAGACCAGGTCAGGCCTGGCCTAAACGAGACCAGGCCACAGGCCTCTGTCAGGCAGTCTGGCCTGTTTCCATCCCTAATTCAGATCTCAATACATTGTCACTCTTACACAATCCAATGCATTACCCTAAAACCAGACAATTGAAAAAAAAATTATTATTATTACTATTATTCTTTTGAAAGTACTATCTCTAGTATTTTATTAGCACCACTGGTAGATTTAGAGTAACCAATAAAACTGAAACAATAAAGATAACAAGTATTCAAGAGACCCTACACCCCCTAAATGTCCTGTCTCTCTTCTACCCAATGACAATCAAATGTAATCTTATCCACAGTCTTGTTAAAAAACAGTTATGGTGGCAGTTTCCAACCAAACCGCCACAACCATGGCGGAAAATGGCAACTTTTCAGTGGCAGCGCCGCAGCGCCATGGTGACCATTACACGCCTAGAAATTCCATTATGTTGACCTTGAAGAAGTCTTCAAGACTTGTTTGTCGTCTTCAGAAATCCTTTTATTGTTTCAAACAATCTCCAAGGACATGGTTTGGCAGATTCAGCATGGTAGTTCAACAGTTTGGCATGACCCAAAGTGAAGCAGATCACTCCGATTTTCATTGTCATTCAACTTCAGATTGTATTTGCTTAATTGTGTATGTAGATGATATTATCATTATAAGAAGTGATCACTATGGCATTGAACAGGTAAAGCAACACCTTTGTCAATACTTTCAAACAAAAGATCTTGACAGACTTCAATACTAATTAGGAATTGAGGTGGCACAATCCAAGAGTGGTATTGCGATTTTCCAAAGGAAGTATGCAATGGATATCCTATAGGAAACATGATTGATGGAGGCCAAAGATACTCCTATGGATCGTAATACCAAATTTCTACCAAGTGTATAGAAGACTTATTGGAAATTATTCGCCCAGACATCTCTTTTGCAATCAGTTCCTTATATTCTGCATTTTAAAACATACTAAAGGAACTCCAAGAAAAGGTCTCTTATATGAAGACAAAGGACATACTTAGGTTATGGGGTATTCAGATGCAGAATGGGCAGGATCACCTAGTGATAAGATATCTATATCTGGCTATTGAATTTTTATTGGTGGAAATCTAGCTTCCTATAAAAGCAAGAAGCAAAGTGTAGTTGCAAGTCTAGTGCAGAAACAAAATATCAAGTCATGGCTTTAGGCACTTGTGAACTTATTTGGCTAACAACTACTCAATGAATTGAGATTTGGGGAAGTTCAACATACAACACTTATTTGCAATAATCAAGCAGTTTTACATATTGCGTCAAATCCAGTTTTCTATGAGAGGACTAAACATATTGAGATAGACTATCCCTTCATTAGAGAGAAGGCTTTGTCTAGAGACATCACTACTAGCTTTGTAAATAGATAAATTATAGTAATATTGTAAATAGATAAATTAGTATCTGTATAATTACGGTAACTCTGTAACTGTATATTCTATGTCAATAATCCCTATTATAAATATATGTTCCGATGTGTAGTCAACACAAGGATTCATCCTATGTTTCTCATTCTCTTTTCTCAACAATTGTCATCCATTGTTCTTGTTCCCTCTCAATTGCCTTGATCTGTGCTTCATCCTCATATGCACCATCCACAATTCCCATGATCAAGAGCTCTAATACTAGTGTTAGAAACTAGAACAAAACACACTCAGTTGTGGTAAGTCTACAATATTTTTCTTAAAGTAATGGTACATGTATGATTTTAGTACCAATGTGGCAGAGAATGAGAAATAAAGACTAAAACATAGGAAAATTAAGATACCTTACATTCTACCTCACTATCTCTCTCTTCTCCCAGTCTAGTCAATTTTCCATCATGAGCCCCCAATTGCTTCTCATGCAATCTGTTACATTAAGCATTCAATTCTCCTTGATTGCCTCTTTGTGCTCTTTCCTAATAAACTTTAGGAAAATATGTTTTCCATACACAAGCACACAAAACTAGATTTCCTTTTTGTTCAAGAAAATGTGATAAATAGGAGGCTGAAGGTGTCATAAATTTAAGATTAGTATGCAAACATCTAGACCATCCTAATGTATACCTAATATGTTAGTATACAATGATATGATTTTGACTAGTCCATGACGTTCAATGAAACCAAGAAATCTTCAAATGTGGCAAAAACTACCTCAAGTTTTTCTTTCTCTTGTATGGCAATCTCAAGCTTAGACTCAGTTTCTTTCAACTTGGTTTTTGCATTCTCCAAATCTTTTCTTAAAGTTTCCATTTCCTTCATCATTGAAGATGAAGTCATCCATGGTATATCCTTTTCAAAAGTCTGAATATATGAAATCAACTCTGCATTTACAATTTTTTCTTGTTTTAAGCATTCCTGAAACAATAATAAGCAGTTAGTGCACCATATTTGCTACATTGCAGATTCAAAGAAATTAAGAGACAGGGTCAATAACATATCATCAAATAGAGGCCTCCTATTAAAGAAATTTGAGAATTCTAGGCATCTAGTTTTGATTTCTTAAGACACTTTTGAAGATCAGCTAATTGGGGTGAAGAACTGCAACAAAAATATTAGACCAACTAGGACCACTAGAAAAATAAGATAATACATAGGCTACTCTACCTTCTCATACTCAAGCTCAGATAGTTTTTCCCTTAAGCAAGAATTCAACTTCTGATGATTACTCAAGACTAAACTTTGTTCTGAAGAATTCTGCAACATTGAGGTTTTGAAAGCCTGTATCCAACCATAAAATATTAAAACAATACACTAAAAGAGTATACACATATTTAGATACAATACAATTATTAGTTATTAGTTAGAAAACAAAGATTGCTGCTCAAGGCACTATATGAAATAAAAACTCAACAATTTCATTTTTATTACAGATATTTATCCAATAGTGCCTCAATCAATATACTTACAAGGAACATTTCACAAAGAGCAGAGAAATTTTTCATAGCGTCATCAACCATCAAAATAACACTTTGGACAGCTTCTTTTGAGTTTAGTATTTCACACACTATTTCTTGAATTCCCATGGAAACACTGATGATAAAGTCAAAATTTCCATCCTACACGAAGCTTCAGGAATAAGTTTTATAGGATAGGAAATGTGATGTATCATAGTCATATAAAACTGTAAATTTATATTTAATCATGAAAACATTAATAATTAAGAATCTAAATTTTCATACAATGCATCAAATGCATACAATAATGTTGCTCACAGTTTCACTGGAAGTAAGTTGTTCATTAGCCAATCGAGCTGCCTCCTGTGCATTTATAAGTTCTTCATAGAGCTAACCAAATGAAAAATAAAATAAAGGAATTAGAAATATGAATTAAGAAATAGATGACACAGTTTTATGGATCTCCAGCCAGCTCTATATCTATGTATTCAAAAAAGACTAGGTAAGTACTTATGGGAGCCCAATTTAGGCATACAATTAGGACTTTTCATTCCAATAATTAATTTAAAGATTAAGAATCACTACAATGAATGCATCCATAGGATCATCTGAAGCAGTGAAATTGTTATTTGGCTCCCTGACCTCTTGTAATCTATCCTTATTACCATATTTTAAACTACGGATGGAACTATGGGATCATCTAAAGCAGTGAAAATTTTCAAATTGCATATATAATTTGTTTCAAGGAATTGTTATATGGTGCCCTAACCTTTCCACTAACCTATCCTTTGTGCCATATTTTGTCCCAAAAAAATATCATAAATATGGGGGTGAGGTGGAAGGGGCATAAATACAATCTATTCAGCTGCTCGTAATATTTATTACTCTCTCCCTTATACCTTTATTCCAGCTACTGAGTTGGGAAGTTAGTGGGAACATAAACAGCTGAGGTTGCTGTATCTACTGAATTTATCCTCTGATACCTTGAAGTAATTTTAAAGATCAAGTGAAAAAAAAAAAACTTTTCTCTAAACTTGACTGAAGTTCAGGGATGGTAGACCAACTTGACAGGAGTTCAGGGGGTAGATAAGACAACTTGTGAATCTGGAATTCCAGATAGGCTGATTGAGTCGCTTGTATTAGGTCCATCACAATAAAAATATAACTTCCTCACTCAAACAACTCAACCAAAGCAAAAACAAGGATAATTGACGAGTAACCAACAATCTAGTGGTCAGCATCTTGTAATCAAATTAGAATGCACAGAGAAAGAAGCACTATTGACTTAAACAATCATTACCTTTTCAAACTTCTTCTTGGTGCATATGTTCTGCTCAGTTGCCAGATCAACAACATTATCCAGGCTCTGTTGGCTTGATAACTTTTCCTTTTCCAAAACCTTAATCTTCAAGATTAAAGGACAAAAAATGCATAAGCAAGACACAGCTAAATATCAGAAAATATATATAAATACATTTTACACAGCATAAAGTAGTTAATGGATATAATTTTTTTTAATTGAAAAAATTTGGAACTAAAGAAATAAAATATACAAAGAAACATGAAAAAGGAAAAGGAAATAAAACCTGTTCTTGAAGTCTCTTGATAACAAGAATAGCCTCCAACTCTCTCAAATGCAAATTTTTCTCGCCATTCAATTTAGCACTACTCGGATTATTTAAACAGTCAGTAGATTCCTTAGAATGAAGAGAATTTGCCTCAATTAGTTGTTTTCTCAATGATTCAATCTGTATCTCACTCATAGTTCTCTGCAACAAGAAAAACATGGGCCTGAATAGATTCTTGCAGTTTCTGGTGCTGGAAGTAAATCAAGAGTGGAGGAAGGAGAGGAAGAAAAACCTGAGTTTCGAATTTTAGAAGCAAATTCTCATATTCTGCCTGCAATTCTAGAAAATTGGTGTCCTCCTGCAATATTTGCAAGATATTACAAAACAAATTACTAGAAATTGCCAAAAGAATTCATGAGACATGACAGCACCAACCATGGATAAGCTTTTCTTCTGTGATGTTGCCTTTTTCCTGTTCGTTACATGCAATAAAGAACAAGGGTTTGGTAGATTGTAATTCTCATTAACATCACCTTTATCATCATCTTCTTGCTTAAAGGACTCATCTGCATAAACATCTTCATTTACAAGTTCTTCAAAAGGAAGAAGCAGTCCTATGTCTTGTTTAGGTCTTGTTTGTTTTACTGTAGAAGCATTTGGTTGGATGCTAGATGAAACCTTAGGTCACAAAACAATTGAAATAGGATTACAAATATAAGATACAAGCAACAAGATAACTATTATAGAAAAAAATAAATGCCATGAAAATAGTAACATATTATGCAAGCATAATAGTGGTAATGCTGGCATCTAAGATGGATTTGAAAAAAATCAGTCCCTTAATTTATAACCATAACATATTATATAAAATTGTTAAATATACGTTCGCTAACTAAATATTCTGTAAGTATTGCTATTATCAATATAAATATATGGCCTGTTGTGTAGTTGAAACATACAGATTCATCCACATGTTCTCTCACTTTTCTCTGTGTTAACAAGGGTAGTGTGACAGACTCAGACTCAGATTCAGATTTAAGAGGTGAAGGAGAAGGAGAAGGAGAAAACCCAAAAACTGGAATTGACTCGAAAAAGGTAACTTCAACCACTCAGGCCAATGTTTGGGTGTCTACCTTTTTTGGGATCTTCAGGGACAGGCCAAAGCCACATTGCTTCTACCTTTTTTGGATCAGCTGAGACACTTTTTGTTCACCTTTAATTTGTGTACTTGTAACACTTGCACTTGCAACACCTCTTTCAAATGAGCTAAGTGCAGCTCAACCGAGGGACTGTACGCTGATAAATCATTGAAAAAAAAAAAACAGCACAAACTTCCGAACAAAAGGCTGAATGACCTCATTAGGTAACTGAATGTGTCCTTAATTATGTAGCTATGATTATGATTATCGTTGTTAATATAAATATATATCCCATGATATAGTTGAGACACACGGAATTCATCTCATGCCTTCTCATTTTCTCTCATCTTAACAATAAGAAAATTATATTAATCTAGATTAGAGAGTCAAGATGTTAGAGTATATAATCCTCATAACACACATGCCATGCAGACAAGGGAAAGACATGAATTGCCAAGCCCAGACTAAACCCCACCTTACTTTAACACATGCAGAACCTGTCACAGTAAAAGAAGCCATGACTGACCCAAATAAATGGCTTGCTGCATTGCAAGAGGAATTTAATGCACTTCTCAAGAATAACACCTGGTACTTAGTTACATATGCCCTGCAAACAGAAAACACCAAAGGCTGCAAATGGCTTTACTATGTAAAGGAAAATCTCAATGCTTCTTTTAGAAGGTTTGAAGTTAGGCTGGTTGCCAAAGTGTTTCATCAAAGAGCTAGATTTTATTTTTCTTAAACGTTTCCCAATGGTGAAACCGGTAACAGTAGAACTATTCTCACTGTTTCCATTTCCAAACACTGAAATATTCAACAAATTTACATAAATAATGCATTCAGTACAATGGTCTCCTACAAGAAGTTTAGATGCAGCACTCTGGCTTGCAAATTAAACAAGGCAATTTATGGCCTAAAACAAGTCCGAAGAGGTTGGTTTGAAAGACTGACCTCTATGCTACTCACTATTGGCTTTGAGGCCACAATTGTGATCCATCTCTATTTGCTTTCCAACACAACTTAACACCATTTTTTTGCTTATAATGTTGATGACAATATAGTCACTGGAAACTCTTTATCACTCATCCAAACTTTGATTTCTCAACTCAACTCAACTCAACATTTGCTCTCAAGCAGTTAGGTCCTCCTGACTACATGGGAATTCAGGTTCATCATCTGCAGGATGGCTATTTATTCCTTTCTCAATCAAAATACATTGGTGATCTTCTTCTCACCAAGACGCACATGGCTGATGCAAAGAGAATATCCTCTCCCATGATATCAAATCGTAAACTTACTTGATATGGATTCAACTATATACCAAACCCAATCCTGTTCATATCAATTGTTGCAACACTGCAATATGTCACTATTACTAACTAGGCCAGAAATAAGTTTCCCAGTCAATGAAGTTTGTCAGCTTCTGTCACAGCATCTTGAAGAGAACTAGAAAGCAGGAAAAACAAAAAAAATAGATATCTCAAAGGCACACTTAATCATGGACTTTTATTACAAAAGGCTTCTCCATCAACCACTCTCTCTCACGGCATTATGTGATGTTAATTGGGCCTCGAACCCAGATGACTGAAAGTCAGCCTCCTAGTCCTGCATCTACCTAGGCCCCAAATTAATCTCACGGTGGTCTCCAACAAGCAAATTCTAGTAGCGAGGTCTAAAACAGAAGCAGAATACTACTATCTAGCCAATACTGCAGCTACAATTTCTACTCACTGAATTAAGGACTCCTGGCAAAACACCTCAGCCTTTTTGTGACAAACTCGGAACTGTATTGTTGTCCCACAATCCTGTTCTTCATGTCAGAACGAAACATATGGAACTTGACATCTTCTTTCTTCAATGAAAAGGTCATCAATAAGCTCAATTGTCAGTCGTATCCCTGGCCCTGCCTAAAATCAGTATGTTGATATTCTTAGCAAGGCCCTCTATCCTCTGCAGTACTCTGTTTTGCGAGACAAACTGCAGGGGTTTGACAGAATCTCTCTTAATCAACCACCCTGAATTAGAAGGAGAAATGTTGGAGAATAGAACTGAAGTCAAAGCCTTGTACAGTTATAACAGAATACTTGCTAGATTTCTATGTAATAGTCTAGACTCTAGAGCTTTCAGTGTCATATTTATAGTAGATTATCATATAATCATTGTAACTGTCACAATTGTGTATTCAGTTTTCCATTCAATAATATTCTCTCACTTTCTCTCTCTCTCTCTTGTCTCTGAAATTCTCAATACAAGAAACAAAAAGTATTTGTAGTTAATTCTTTGTAGATGGAACAAGGAATTAAATGTCAAGTAACCACATTGATGTCACATTGAAAACTATCACAGAAAATTGAAACAGTCAATGTCCTGCTCTCACTCTCTTTTCCCAGGTTGCTCAAGTTACTAGATTCCTCTGTACAACCAGATGCAAAAATCAGATCAGATACTACTGATCTTCAGAACAACCAGCTGCAGTGTCTGCCAAAACACCAAAACGATTGTTAAGATGTCCTATATTGGCTAGGATTAGAGTCAAAATACCCCTTATAAGGGCTAAGGTAGTCCTTCTACTATGAGCTAGCATTTGGGAGTGAGTTAGGCCCAAGTTTCTTAACAACCATCTATATATAGCACAATTATATTGCTAAGCTTGAGTCATTTTCCCTTTTTTCCAGTAAGCTACTTCTAGCATCATTGTGTTGTGTCTTTGATGACAATCCCAGTCACAAGTCAATAAGACTGAGAATGAATCATTTGCAGAACTGAGTCTTTGTGGAGTTTAGTTATACAATAAAAACAGCACGCCAGATAACTATATATGAAAGCATACGTGCTCAATCAGTCACAACCTCACAGGAAGAGAGATATGCAAATTTACGGGTACTTAGTTAAGCAAAGATCATCCACATATGGATTGGACCACAGTCAGGTCATTAATAAAAACAGTTGCCCGTGAGAAATTTTTTAAACAAGGAAATGCTTCTTAGTAGTTCTAAAAGTGCATCTTTTGCGACAGCATAAGATTGTATCGTAGAAGTTCCCATTTTGCTTCAACAAAGCATGAACAATGTGATAACAGGTAACAACATACAGATAATTTAATCAGCACCAAACACAGATACCAAATCATAATTCATATAATATAAAACCCATCAGAACTAATAATGAACTATTAGCAAGAAGGAGACATGTTACATCTCTTAGATGCTCCCGTGAAAGCTTTCCTAGACACAATGTATCCCGCCTCTTCTCCTGCAGTGCATGCATGAAAACTTAATCACTCAATGGGTATGAGATGTTACTAGGATGCAAGATAAAAAAAAGGATCAGACAAGAGCATAATAGTTGCAAGACATTAATGCTGACAGAAGAACAATTAAATAAATGACAGCAACTGGCTCAGAAACCGAATTCAAACAAAATAATATAATGGAGAAATGAGCAGAGAATCAAATGAGAAAAGTTTTATTCAATTCAAAGTTTAGGAAAGAAAAAACCCGAGCCTATAGCTCCTTCAGAGATACTATCACAGACCTACACCTGAAATAAAGACATTCCCCCATTCTTCAATCACACAGCTGACTGCAAAACTCTCATTCAGTGACCTCTCTCTCTTTACATAGCAAAGACCATGACAAACTGAGAGATGTATTACTGCTAGCAGTCTGAGTTAGTTAGTTATGCACTAGTTGTAATTCCTTGATTTTGGTATTTATGTAACTACTTTCAGTTAAGTATACTTCTATAAATACCATTCAGTACTAAATCATTCTGTGACAAATAATACACTTTCAATTTATTAGTGTATACAACTCAGTTGTATTAGTTTAGTTAGTTTTGTATTTTAGTTGTATTAGTTTTGTATCAGCTTTTTTGTTTTTATTAGATAGTTCAGAATCTTTTAGCACTCAACTCCAACTATATTTATCTCTATAACTGATCTAAACTAAGTCTCAAGAATATATTGAAAAACTCCTAATAGAGTTTCTTTTCTTTTCTCTCATTCTTTTCTCCCTTCCTCACATTCTTTTACAGTATCAAGAGCTTAGTTTCAACCCTTCTGTTTTCTCATGGCTTCTGCAACTAATGATGACACTAATGGCACTTGCCCACCACCTTACCCGCCACCAACATCAAAAGCTGTGTTGCTTGCTCGAACGACGTTTTCCCATACTATCACTGCTAAGCTCACTAATTCAAATTACCTTCTCTGGTGATCGCAAGTTCAGCCAGTCATCAAAGGCCATGGCCTACTCAGTTACATTCTTGCTCCACAAATTCCACAAAAATTTGCTTCGAACCAAGATCAGGATCACAATACACTTTCACTTGAATATCAGTTCTGGGAGCAATAAGATCAATTGCTCCTGTCATGGCTTCAGTCAACAATCTCTGAAGTGGTTCTTCCACAGCTTATACACTGCTCCACGTCATGGCATGTCTAGGACAAGCTTCATGAGTATTTTCTTTCCATTGCTCGTGCAAAGAAGAAACAAATTTGTCGTGAGCTTTGTACAATTTTGCTTAATAATCACCCAATTACTATTTATCTCCTTCATATTCAGACTTTACTTGATTCTTTGATGTCCATTGGTGATTTTGTTTCACTGAGTAAACTCATTCTTGATGGGTTGTCGGATGAATATAACACAGCGGTTACGGTTCTTGGTTCAAAAGTGGAACCTCTCACCCTTGATGACATTTCTTTGCTACTTCTTACACAAGAATCGCATCTTGAAAAGTCTAGAAAGAACACACTTGGTATTGTGCACGTAGCCGAAGGTACCCTGTCTTCCTCCCAAGATTCTGTAGCTCATGCTAATCTCACACATGCTTCCTCAAGCTCATTTTCTGGTTCTGGTTATGGATGTGTCTAATACTGCTCACAGTCGCAGTGGTGATCGTCATTTTAGTCGTGTTGGCCAAGGAAGTGGTCATGGTTGTGGATGTTATGCTGATTTTCAGTGCCAAATTTATCACAAGTATGGTCATGAGGCTTTTTTCTGCTATCACTACCATGATGATAACTATGTTCCGTCTCAGCCCAAACAGAATCATTCACCTGCCCTTCCCAACATCCCTCACATTCAACCAATCCCGCAACCTCTTGCTGAAATCTCCTGGATTCAGTCACTCCTCTCAAAACTTCAAGTCTCACATGCTTCTCTTGTCATCTTTTGTGACAATCAAAGTACTGTTAGTCTTGCTCATAATCCTATTATGCACTTTAGAACAAAGCATGCTGAACTTGATTTGTACTTTGTTCGTGAGAAAGTCATTTCCAAGCAAGTTTAGGTGGTCCATGTGCCTACTGTTGATCAAAGGGCTAGCATTCTTACCAAGGCTCTTTCACCGTCCACTTTCACTATCTATAGATCCAAGGTCAGAGTCAATGACAAGCTTTTTGCCAACCCCTCTTCAGCTTGTGAGGGAATATTAGAGTATGCAACTTGGTTGTATTAGTTTAGTTAGTTTTGTATTTTAATTGTTGTTAAGATGTCTCACATTAGTTGGGATTAGAGCCAGAATACTCCTTATATAGGCTAGGGTAGTCCTCTTCCTATGAACTAGCTTTTAGGAGTGAGTTAGGGCAAAGTTTCTTAACATGGTATCAGAACCTATTCAGTTTAAATGTTGGGCTACCCATAAATGTTGAGTCCTGCAAATCTCATACACTAGATGTCCAGTCTTGGACATGAGAAAGGTGTGTTAAGATGTCCACATTAATTAGGAATAGAGTCAGAATATTTCCTATGAGCTAGCTTTTGTGAGTGAGTTAAGCCCAAGTTTCTTAACATGGTATCAGAGCTTATCTAGTTTGAATGTTAGGCTGCCCATAGATGTCCAATCCAACTATATATATCTCTATTACTGATCTGAACTAAGTCTAAAGAATATATTGAAAAACTCCTGACAGAGTTTCTTTTTTTCTCTCATTCTTTTCTACCTTCCTTACATATTTTACAATTTACATTTTCTTACTCAGCTTTCTCTATTTTTCCCTCTCTCTCAATACAATAGAATTCTATTACAAATTAGCAGCAAACTCGCAATAACAAACTCTCAATTACTTATTCACCACTCCATCAACTAATTGGTCCCTCTTTTTTTCCTACAATAAACCTCCTAGACCTTTGGTCCATCTCCCCTCTTATCCACTAGTTGGATATATGGAACTTGAGCCTTGACACTACCTCACCCTAGAACTCCAGCCTTGTCCTCAAGACTAAGGTAGCGAATTGGGTGCAAAAACCAACTCATCTTCCAAATTAACATCCTCAATTTTTTTTCCTTTTCCATTTTACAAGCCATGGGAAAATAATCTCCATAATTTCCATTAGCCATGACAAATTTCAGTTCCACAAGATCTTCTAACTCCACTTCCAAACCCTCAGGTAGGCTAATTGACACAGGATAATACCTCACTGCCCTTTTCAATCAACCAAGGGATAAGAACATGCAATATCCTGTGGTGGACCTCCTATCAACAACTGATCCTGCATAGTCAGCATCAGTATATACTTCCATGGATAAGTTTCCCTCCTTTTTAAATAGCAATTGTTTCCCTGAAGAGGCCTTCAAGTACTGAATAATTCTATTTACTGCCTGCAAGTGTCTTTCTCTTAGATCATGCATGAATTGACTAACTATACTAACTGCATAGGCTATGTCTGGCCTGGTGTGGGATAAATAGATGAGCTTTCCCACAAGTCTCTGGTATTGTGTCTTATCCACCTTTGGGCTTTCCTCACCATTCCCAATTCTATGGTTTTGCTCTATGGGTGCTCTAGTGGTCTTACAGCCCAGCTTACCAGTCTCTTTAAGAAGATCAAGAATGTATTTCCTTTTCAGAAATAAAGATACCTTGTCTGGAGTAGTATGCAACTTCTATCCAAGGAAGTACTTAAGCTTATCAAGATCCTTCATCTCAAATTGAGCAGCCAACTTCTCCCTAAAATTATGTTTTTCCATCTCATTGTCACCTACAATAATCATATCATCTGCATAGACTAAAAGTAGAGTGAGTTTGCCGTCTTGTGAGTGTTTAACGAACTTTGTTTGTACCCTAGAGATACCATGGCTTGAGTGAACCTCCCAAACCAGGCCCAAGGTGACTGTTTAAGGCCATACAAGACTTTCTTTAATTTGCAAACCTTACTCCCTCTACCAACAACACCATATTCAGGTGGAATCTCCATGTATACTTCTTCATCTAGGCTCCCATGCAAGAAGGCGTTTTTAATATCGAACTGATGCATCTCCCAACCAAAGTGTGCTGCCAAAGAGAGGATAATTCTGACTGTGTTCATTTTTGCGACAGGAGCAAAAGTCTCATCATAATCAATCCCATAGGTTTAGGTGTATCCTTTTGCAACCAGCCTCGCTTTATACCTGTCTAGTGTGCCATCAGAGTGATACTTAACAGTGTATATCCACCAATAACCTACTGCTTTCTTATCCTTTGGTCTCTCTACAATCTCTCAAGTCTCATTCCTTTCCAATGCACCCATTTCATCATTCATGGCTGGAACCTAGTTCTTATCCTTTAAGGCTTCTTGTACTAATGTAGCGATTATGAAAGAATCAATAGCTGAAATAAAACTTTGGTGCTACATAGAAAGACTTTTAGTAGACACAAATTGGGATATAAGATATTTGGCACAAGATCTTTTTCCTTTTCTTAAGGCAATTGGTAAATTATCTGGGTTAAGATCACAAGAGATATTTAAGGTGTCCTCAAGATTATGAGTTGTTACCTCTGATTCGGACAATTGAAGTTGTTCAACCAGGTCGGGTTTTTCTCTTCGCTGATATTGGATCCCAAATCGTCTAACTTCATTATTCTGCATTGCTCCAAGATCTTTGTCATCCTCCATAAGAGTGGAATTTTGCAACAAAGGAATAGATGACAACTCAAGGAACTCAACTTCTTCTAGATTACTCTCCCCCTGACGCTAAGTACTAATGAAGAAAGGTTCTATTTCATGAAATGTGACATCCTTGGAGACATAGACACAACAACTTTGGGGTTGATAACATTTGTATCCCTTCCTGTTTAAGGCATAACCTATGAAGATACATTCGATAGCCCAAGGATCTAACTTTCCCCGATGAGTGCTATGAACATGGACAAAAATTGAGCAACCAAAGACACCATTTTGGAGGCTGGTCATAATGGGGATAGAAGGATAGAATGAGGTCATGACTTGAACCGGGCTAAAACAATCAAGAACACGAGAGGGCGATCTATTGATTAAATATGTGGCAGTGAGAACAGCTTCCCCCCAGTAAGACTTAGGGACAGACATTTGGAAGAGTAATGCTCTAGTAACCTCAAGGAGATGACGATTTTTCCTTTCTGCAACCCCGTTTTGTTGGGAGGTGTCCACCCAAGTTAACTCATGAATAACTCCTTCTTCTTCAAGGAAATTAGAGAGATTTTGATTTATATACTCTCTCCCATTATCCGAACGCAATCTCTTATTAGGACTCTCAAACTGTGTTTAAATCATTTGGTAAAAATTAACAAATAGTTGGAAAAACTTTAGACTTATCTTTCATGAGGAAAATCCAGGCAACCTGCGTACAGTCATCAATAAAAGGAACAAACCACTTGGCACCAGAATATTGGAAGTAGATGTAGGCCCCACACATCCAAATGAACAAGATCAAAAGGTTTTGAACTTTTATTATTACTGGGAAGAAAAATTGTTCGATGATGTTTACCAAATTGACAGACATCACAATGAAAGGACTCAACTGACACTGTTGTAAACAAGAAAGGAAATAATGACTTAAGGACTCTAAAAGGAGGATGCCCAAGACACCTATGCTGAAAGCCATATCTGGGAGGAAGACCAAAATTCTGAACTCATCTGATAGCTGGATGTGAGTGCCTTTTGTTTTGTGCACTCTTTACTGTCTTCATGTTGTAGGTAATATAACCCACCCTGCTGTTTAGCAATTCCAATCGTCCTTCCCATGGCAAGATCCTGAAAAACACAATGGGAGTGAAAAAAAGTGACTGCAAAGTTTAAGTCTTAGGTGATCTTATGAATCAATAAGAGGTTGTTAGATAGTTGTGGAACATGAAGCACATTTTTTAAAAGAAGGGAAGATTAAGTTGAATGTTGCCATAACAGGTAACAAGGGTATGAGAACCATTAGCAACAGTGATATGTTGGTTACTAGATGAAATGGTATAGGATGAAAAATAAGGAGAATGAGGTGTCATATGATCAGTAGCACCAGAGTCTATAATCTAGATATTCTCAGTATCAAAATCCTTAAAGGATAAGAAGCTAAAACTCTTACCAGTCATAGTTAAGGAACAAGAACTAGATGTCTTACTAAGAGAGTCCATAAGAGCCCTTAGGCGTTCCAACTCTGCTTTGCTGAGAGCTAGTACCTCATTTTCTGCTGGTGGGATAGATGGGGCACTTTCATAGTCAAATGTTACCTGATTAACACATTGTTGTGTAAGCCCTTTGAACCCTCTAGTTCGCTCAAGGACCTTCTCCTTCCCATGAATCCTAAAACATGTCTCCTTATTATGGCCCATCTTCCTACAATAACTACACCACCTATCATCATGGCTAGCTTTTATTGGTATGAAGAGCCTTTTACAAGACCCTTGCCACCAGCTAAGGCTAAACCATCCATAGAACCCTTGCTCATAGACAAGGCTGAACCATCAATAGAACTGCCCCCTTCCAACATAATTGACCTCCGAGTTTCATCACCTCAGACAATGTGGAACACCTCTGAGAGAGATGGAAGTTCATTCTTGCCCAAAATCTGAACCCGAATCGGATCAAACTCTGAGTTTAGTCCATGTAGGAACTTAAAGATTCACATCTTTTCTAGGAATTATGTCAATGTTTTTGAATCAACTGTACACTCCATTTTCAAATTCTAATACTAGTCCAACTCAATCCACGAACCATTCAATGTTCTATATTAATCTGATACTGAAAGACTCTCTTGTTTGGTATTAAAGATCTTGCTCTCTATTTCATAACACGTTGCAGTATCCTTCTTCATACAATACGTCTTTCTAAGGTTCTTCCAAATTTCCTTCGCATTGGAGAAAAACATACAATTCCGGCTGATCTCCGGTGTCATAGAATGCCACAGCCAGGTCATGATCAAAGAGTCTCCATCATCTCGAGCTTCATATTTTGGGTCCATTTGGCTGGAGGGTCTCCTTCAATGTGACTCAACTTCTTCCATCCCTTGAGGGTTGTGTGAACCAACTGAGCCCACTGCAAATAGTTTTGCCCATTATAGCAATAAGATCCTTGCAGAACCTGTAGATCATTGGTACTCAAAACAGGGGCTGTCTCGTCTTCAGACATATTGGGAGAATGATGAAATGTAAAACAGAAGTATGGTGAATCTTAACCGCGTTTGAACAGTACTTTTTTAAAGTAGAATCTCCTATTAAGATGAAATGACCCCTGGAATAGAATCAGGGATGGTCGGCAACCAAGTTTGTGGTGGCTCGGTCAAAAAAAAAAAATAGAAGGTAGGAAGGTGGCGCGTGACGTACACATGACGGAGGCAGAACTGGCGATTGACAGCAAAATTTTGGGGACAAGTCGACCTTGAAGAGGTGCTCCTCCTGGTGTGTTTTTCGGTTGGGTCCGCGGTGGTCGGTGGCGGACGGTAGTAGACGGTGCTAAAAGTGAGCAAATTCGCAGCAATGAAGGCTGCCTAGAAGATGCGGAAGCAGAGCCCCCTAGATTGGGAGCTCTGATACCAACTTGAGAAAAGGAACAAAATATTATTTGAATAATATTTGAATTGCTTGATTAATTGAGAGCCTGTACAAAATACATTTGTATAGACTATTAGTCTCCTAATTAAGGAAATAAAAAAAACTGAACAAATCAAATCAGCCAAATTTGTCCTAACTACAGAACAAATCTAATCTGTCCTAATTATAGAACAAATCTCCTAATTATATTTTACAACACCAACTCTTCTAGATAGTCCACCTCAAGGTCCTTTACAGGGATATCATAGATGAACCCATACATCCTTTACCAGCTTGATATCTAGAATGCTTTTCCATATTGATCTCATGGGAGAAGTTTATGGGACGCAATCTCCTAGATTTGTTGCTCAAGGAGAGACTTTTAGATTAGTTTGCCATATCCAAAATTCCTTGTATGGCCTTACACAATCCCCAAAGACATGGATTGGTCGCCTCGTTATTGTATTCTAAGAATTTGGAATGACTTGAAGTAAAATTGATCACTCAATTTTCTATTGTTATTTTGCTTTAGGATGCATTTGTTTGATTGTTTATGTTGACGACATTGTTATTATGGTAGTGATCATCATGTCATTACAGAAATAAAGCAATATTTATGCCACTACTTCCAAACCAATGTTATCAATGGCAGATTGCAAAAGAACTATAATAAAAGTATGGCAGCAGCCATGGCAGGTCATGCCACTCAAAACTTATACTTGATATAAAATGTGTTGATAGTACCTTCTTAATATGTTCACGACTTTCATCCCTACTTGAAAACAAAACCATTGAGCTCAAATTTTCTATTTTCTTGGCTTGCTCCTTTACTCTTTTTTCCCATTCAGCTTGATTTTTCTTTTCCTCTTCTAATTCCAAAGCTATGCGTTCCCTTTCCAGTTCAGTCTGGCAAGAATACACTGTAAAATACAGATACACTTGAACTTGCTTATAATTAAGAACAAAGGAAAGTTCATACACCTGTAATAATGTATTTCGTAGGTTCAGAATCTCCTCTTCCCAATGCTCTGAATGAGAACCCTAAAGAAAAGACCAAAATATAGTTATGGCAACACTTTAGGGAGTAAATATTTTGTCCATTTTCTATCAAAAAAATTTATGTTCATCAAATATGAAACACAAATAACAACAGAAAAATAGATTAACCATCAATTTGGCTCGAAGCTCCTCAATCTCTTTCTTTTGGCGCTTTAATAAAGCAGCATCTGTCAAAATCTGTGAGCAAAAACAAAGTGGGAAAAAATTACACTGAAAGATACATATCAATGCTAAGCAGAACCCAATCGCACAACAAACAAAAAGGCAATACAGGACTGAGAAATGATACAAATACACTCTTCAACACAATTTGGTTGCGGGACAGAGACACTGAGACAGAGATACGGAGGCACACGTATTATGTTTGGCTAGTGTCTCGCTGGAGAGACAGAGACACAAAGAACACACGAGATACAAATTCGAAGGACACCAGTGTATTTCCTGTAAAAAGGGACACTAGTGTCCCAGCTCCAGAGACACAAAGGGTAAACTTTTGAAGACAAAAATACCTCATAATTTTTAAAAATTGCATAGACTACCCTCATAATTTTTATATCCAAACACAATACAAGATGCAATATACTACATTTTGTTCTCACTTCCAAACACAATACACAGACACAAACATTAGGGTCTATGTCCTTCATGTCTCAGTGTCTCTGTCTCTAGTGTCCAGGGACGGTATCCAAACGCTACCTTTATGTTGTTGGTCTATTTTTTAAAATGTCATGCATTTGCATCATAAATTGATCATCTTTTAAATATTGTTTTGACTTTTAAAAAATTAACCAATCATGAGATGTGTTGAAGAGTGTTCAAAAGAGTGTGTTACTAGCATTCCTCATTGGACTACAAAAGTAGATATTAAGAAGTAAGAACATCTATGTATATAAATAATTGAACCTGCCTGCAAGAGATGATGCAATAAAAAAATTCTTGTTATAAAGAATAAGTTTATTAGATAGAAGAGAAAGTATGACCAAAGAGATAAGACACCTAATAAAGAAACTGCATTGATTTGGCAAACAAATCAAAAATAAAAAAACAAAGAACAAAATCAAATAAAAGAGCTCTCTAAGGGAAACAGATTAGAAAAAACCTCATTCACTTGAGCGCAGTTTGTGACACGCAATGCTCTACTTGCAAATTGGAGGCTACTTTTAGTTTCATCTGTATGAATCTGCCATATAACAAATGTGCTTAAATAACTAGATGAAAAGAATATTAAGGAAAATTTGAGATTCCTTTAAAAGAATATCAAATATAAGTAGGCTGTGCATAGAAAAGAATCAGAAAATACTAATCTCATTTGATGAGTGATAACTAGGAAACTTCATTGTCAAATGGATATCAATCAATCAATATACAAAACAATTGGCTTCATTCTATCTCCAAGCCAAATGAAGCTTCCTTTTTCAATTGAAATGTGCAGAATAAGGATAACTCTGATAGAAACTTGGTATCTTTATAAGAAAAAAGAGGGAAGAACTCTAATTCATGGAACATAATACACACTGCAGAACTTTTGAGAGTCTGCAGTCTGCACCCCCCAATATCAAAAGGCCCTAATTTCCTCTTACATATCACATGATATTCCTTTATAATCTCCTGTCAATTAGGCAACATGCCTTATTCAAACTCACCTAAATAACTAACTCACTAATTAAAATAATTTATTTTAAATAGCTTCTAATGGGGGTTAACTAACAACTTCACAACTAAAACTGTTTGGAATTTGCTATATTTTCCATTCAAGGTTAAGAAAATGGTATATCATTCAGCCGTAGTGATACAGCCATTGGAGGTGAATTAAGTGAGCCTTTAGTGCATGAAGGCAACCATGGAAGATGGGGTCGTGTTTACATGAGGAAAAGGCATTAGAAAGGTAATTGGGTCATGATTGTTAGTTAAGGGGTATTTTGGGGATGTGGAGTGAGATATTTGTCTTTTTTATCTTTACGGTTATTTAGTATCAAATTGGAGAGAGAAGGGGGATCATTCTGTTTTCTATCATCATTTTGGTAGAGGATACCTCTTTTGTGAGGTGACTCTAAAGAGCTTGGCTCTGGGCAGATTGGGTACCCATTCCCATCTGTTTTTCTTGTTTTGGTTACCTTTATCAATTTAACCAAGGTTCCTTTTTTCATTCAGTACATATATTATACTTTGTTTTTTGGTTTGCATCAATTTGGTCCAACCTACCGGATTGGAATCAATGGTGGTGGATGCCCACAACCTGGAATTAGAAGAAGCAACAACAGGAATCAGCAGAAATGGATGCACGCATAAGTCACGTAGGAGAGCTGGGTTGGGTGCAATCGTCAATCGAAGAATTGCGTCTTAAAGCAGCAAAGAGTAAGTTGATCATGGACCAGTTATAAAAACAATTGGAGGAACAGACAAAACTCATGGAGGCCATCTTTCTGAATATCGGAAAAAGTGGAGGTGAAAATGGTAGGGAAAACTCGATGAGGCAGAAGAAGGAGAGCGAGAAAACGAGTGGGAGCTTGAAGCCGTTGGAGGGAACAGCTTTGGAGGAATTTTGTCAATCCCTAAAAAGGTGGAATTACCCATGTTTAATGGAGAGGATCCAGCTGGTTGGATTACGAGGGCTGAGATTTATTTTTGTGTTCACGAGACAAGCGAGGACGTGAAGGTGAACCTCGCACAGCTCTGTATGAAGAATGAAACCATCCATTTCTTTAACGCCTTGCTCAGTGATTACGACGAATTGACCTGGGACGATCTCAAGAAAGAGCTGCTAGAACATTACGGAGGAATCGGAGAAGGAGGAGTATTTGAGCAGTTGACTTCTCTACAGCAAACCGGAGGGGTCAAGGAATATATTCAGAAATTTGAATGTTTAACTTCTCAAATTCCAAAGCTCCATGATTACCAGTATTTTGCTTATTTCATCCATGGCTTATGTGATTAAATTCATTCGAGAATGAGGAGTTTAAATGTGGTGAGTCCGATGTCTTGTGAAAGGATGATGAATGCCGCAAAAGCAATTGAGCTGGAGCTATCTAGCCATGGCAGAAATTGGAGTGAGAAGGAAACATGTGGGAGTGGAGGATCCTATTTGGGTTTCCGAATCAGGTCCAATGTATAAGGTCAAAATAACCCAAGGAGTTTTGGAAGACAAGGGGGTGAAAATGGACCTGGCCCAAACGTACTCACTGATCCTGGAGAAAAAATTCAAAATGGGCCCAGAGACAGGGGTGTTAGGCACTTGGCCTACCAAGACCTTTTGGAACGTCGCCAAAAAGCGCTTTGCTTTATTTTGGTCAAGAAGAAGAATAATCAGTGGCGTATGTGTGTGGATTTCAGGACTCTAAACAAGGTTACAATACCTGACAAATTCCCAATTCTTGTAATGAACAGTCACCATCGCGAGAAAGGGCTGCTCCGCCCAATATAAGGAGATTTTTATTATAATTGATAGAAAATGGGAGTGTCAACTTCATCATCCATTACATGCTGCAGGTTATTATCTGAATCCTCAATTTTTTTATAACAATAAACAAATTGAGAATGATCCTGAAGTTGTGGAAGGCTTGTATAAATGTATTGAGAGGCTATGTACAAGTGAAGATGATGTAGACAATGCTACAGTTCAATTGTCAACATATAGAAGAGCTGAAGGTCTCTTTGGTTTAAGTGGAGCAAAAAGATAAAGGGCTACAATGGCTCCTGGTAAGAGATTTGTTTAATTTTTTTATTGTAATGTAATTATGTAGATATAACACAAAAGGTTAATAAGTTGATGCATAACTTGCAGCTGAATGGTGGAAGGATTATGGAGTACGTACACCACATTTACAAAACATTGCTATTAGAGTGTTGAGTTTGACTTGTAGTTCATCTGGATGTGAACGAAATTGGAGTACTTTTGAACATGGAAGTAAATATCTGAATCCTCAATTTAAGTTCTTATATAAAAAGTGAAAATCTAATATTTTTTTTTATGGTAAAATAGATTCATTCTAAAAAGAGAAGCAGACTTGAGCATCAAAGGTTACAAGACTTGGTTTTTATTAAATATAACCAAGCTCTTAATGAACGTTTTGAGTGTTCTGACGTGGTGGATCCTATTATCATAAAGGATGTTGATAATAGTAATAATTGGTTGCTAGAAGGAATAGCTGGAGATGATGAAGATGCTGTAGATGAATTAGTGTTTGATGATGATAACTTGACTTGGGGAGCTGTTGCTAATGCAATTGGGGCTAGTGAGCCTATAACCTACACTAGGCGACAAGCTAAATCAAAATCCAAGACAACTACAATTGCTTCTTCATCTAAATCTAAGGGAAAAGGGAAAGAAATTGTACAAGAAGAAGAAGAAGAAGAATGTGATGACGAAGACTCTGAAGAAGAGGATGAGGAGGAGGAGGTTCTTTACAAAAGTAGTGATGAAAGTGAAAATGAAGAAGATATGACAAATCTTGGAGATGAAGATGATGATAATTATTAAAATATTTATATTTGAATTGAACACTTAGTATTTTTAAACATCTAAGCATTAGAGACTTAAATTTAGTTAGTTAAATTTATTTTTATATTTTGTTGTTATTTGTTATTGACATCTAAGCATATATATGTGTGTAATTTAATTTATGAGTTTATGAGTATATTTATAATACCTAAAATAGCGGTCATCCCGCTATCCACTATGCCGCTATAGCGTTTTTGAGGTTGGCCGCTACGCGCCGCTATCCGGGATTGACTACTATGATTTTTTTTATGATATCCTTGTGTATAGTAAAGGATGGCAAGAGCATCTACAACTGCTTCAACAGGTCCTAGAAGTTTTAAGGCACAACAAGTTGTTTGCAAGACGAGAGAAATGCACTTTTGGCCACGAACAAGTTAAATATTTGGGTCATATCATCTCTGTGCAAAGAGTGGCAGTAGACCCTGCCAAGGTGAAAAGTGTTCATGAGTGGCCAAGGCCAAAGAACATGAAGGGAGTCAGGGGCTTCCTAGGCCTCACTGGCTATTACAGGAAGTTTATAAGAGATTATGGGAAGATTGCACAACCATTGACTGCCTTAACAAAACAAGATGGATTCAAATGAGATGCTTTGGCTCAACAGGCGTTTGATGATTTGAAGAAATGCGTGACAGAAGCACCAGTGTTGAGGTTGTCAAACTTTGAAGAGCAGTTTGAATTAGAATGTGATGCTTCTGGAACAGGAATTGGAGCCATTTTGATGCAAAATCGTCAACCAATTGCATATTTCAGCAAGACGTTCGGTGAGAAGAATTTATCTAAATCTGCCTATGAGAAAGAATTGATGGCAATGGTCCTTGCTCTCCAACATTGGAGACCCTACCTGTTAGGAAGGAAATTTGTTGTGTTTTCAGATCAGAAGAGTCTGAAACAGTTGTTAAGTCAAAGAATTTCAACAAGTAATCAACAAAATTGGCTGGCCAAGTTGATGGGGTATAATTTTGAGATAATTTACAAGCCTGGGAAAGAGAATAAGGGAACTGATGCCCTGTCAAGAAGTATGGAGGACGCTGAATTGACTACTATAATTTATTATCCTGAGTGGTTAGATTGGCAGCAATTATCTCAGGAGGTGCAACAAGATACCCACTGGAAAAAGATTATTTCTGATTTGCAGCAGGATAAGGAGGCTCATACTGGTTTTTCTTTCAATCAAGGAGTGTTGCTTCATAAAGGGAGATTGGTGGTGCATGAGCAGTCTCCTTGGATTCATAAATTATTGGAAGAATTCCATTCTATTCCTCAGGCTGGTCATTCTGGTTTTTACAGGACATACAGGAGATTGGCTTCCAATTTATTTTGGAAAGGCATTAAAGAAGATGTTAAACGGTTTGTGCAAGCTTGTGACATTTGCCAATGTCAAAAGTATAGTGCTACCTTACCTAGAGGCCTGCTGCAACCTCTTCCTATACTAGAGCAAGTTTGGGAGGATATATCAATGATTTTATCACAAGGCTGCCTCGTTCAAAGGGCTATGAAGCTATTCTGGTTGTTGTAGACAGGTTGACCAAATATAGCCATTTTGTTCCGTTGAAACATCCCTATACTGCCAAAGAAATTGCTGAAATTTTTGTAAGAGAAGTAGTGAGGCTTCATGGGGTTCCAAAATCTATTGTGAGTGATAGAAACCCCTTATTCATGAGTTTGTTTTGGAAAGAATTTTTTAAGCTACAAGGGACAATGCTCAAGATGAGCACAGCTTACTATCCACAAACGGATGGCCAAACTGAAGTTACAAATAGGTGTCTTGAAACCTATTTGCGTTGTTTCATCACTGACCAGCCTCGAAATTGGTTCTTTTGGGTACCTTGGGCAGAATTTTGGTTCAACACAACTTACCATGAGTCTATAGGTACTACTCCATTTGAGGCATTGTACAGACGTGAGCCTCCAAAATTGATACAATGCATTCCTGGGGAAATAAGAGTGGAGTCAGCTCAGAGAGAGTTGATTGATCATGATGAAACACTGAGGCAGTTAAAAACACATTTGCTAAGGGCTCAAGATCGCATGAAAACCCAGGCTGATAAGCACAGAAAGGAAAGAGCGTTTAAAGTTGGTGACATGGTGTTTTTGAAACTCAAACAGCATAGGCAGCATTCCGTAATGGCTAGGATTAGTCCTAAACTCAGTGCCCGCTATTATGGGCCATTTAAAATCCTGGAAAAGATTGGAGAAGTGGCCTATAAGCTGCAGCTTCCTCCCACTTCAAGGATCCATCCTATGTTTCATGTGTCCTTGCTTAAGAAGGCAGTGGGGAATTATGAGGTAGAGGAAGAATTACCTACTGGGCTGGAAGATGATAGAGGGGAATTCATAGAGCCTGAAGCTATTTTAGCCTCTAGACACATGCTCAAGCATGGAGAGCGACTGAAGTAATGGTTGATTCAACGGAAAGGGAAGCCCACTAAAGATGCAACATGGGAAGATGAAATTACAATCCGCAGCCAATTTCCTTCTCTATGTCTTGAGGACAAGACAAATGCTCAAGGAGGAGGTATTGATACAGCCATTGGAGGTGAATCAAGTGAGCCTTTAGTGCCATGAAGGCAACCATGGTCGTGTTTACGTGAGGAAAAGGCATTAGAGGGGTGATTGGGTCATGATTGTTAGTTAAGGGGTATTTTGGGGATGTGGAGTGAGATATTTTTGTCGTTTTTATCTTTATGGTTATTTAGTATCAAATTGGAGAGAGAAGGGGGATCATTATGTTTTCTATCATCATTTTGGTAGAGGATACCTCTTTTGTGAGGTGACTCTAAGGAGCTTGGCTCTGGGCAGATTGGGTACCCATTCCCATCTGTTTTTCTTGTTTTGGTTACCTTTCTCAATTTAACCAAGGTTCCTTGTTTCATTCAGTACATATATTATACACTGTTTTTTGGTTTGCATCACATAGCAATCTCCTTTACAAACACCTTCCAAATGGCTAGTTTGGAGGGGGGAGAACAAAGGAAATTTTGAGGACTGTCTAAAACCCATGTCATCTACACAAGACAGACATAATAACACATTTGTTAGTTATTGCAATGGTATAAAACATGACAGAGAAACAGGACACCAACTAATTAATTATATAAAGGATATGTTTGGATACTAGCTTAATTAAGCACTTATTCAGAAATCTCTTTTTGCATGACTACATAAATTTGATCATGAAACTTATTGGATTAAGCCATAAATTTGACCATGAAATTTGGGCTAAGGCCTAACTCAACTCCAAGAGCTAACTGTGAAATATATGTAATTATAGTAATAAGACAAGTGTATCTTTGTAATTATGTTAATTTGGTAACTGAATACTTTGTTAAATATTCTATAATTATTGCTATTATCAATATAAATATAAATGTGTGCACTTCAGAGCAATGGTACTTGGGACCTTGTTCCTCTTCCTTTAGGGTAGTTTATTGTTGGATGCAAATGGAGGTACATCATCAAGGTTGGCACTAATGGCCATATTGATCGTCTTAAGGCTTGTTTGATGACCAAAGGTCATACCCAAGTCTTTGGTTTAGATTATGGTGATACATGCTCTCTAATGGCTAAAATGACCTCTATTCCTTATCCATGACTACAATTCATCACTAGCCCCTTTACCAGCTTGATACAAAAATGTTTTTATCCATGGTGATCTTAAGGAAGAAGTATGTATGGAGCAACCTCCTAGATTGGTTGCCCAGGAGAAGTCTTCCAAATTAGTTTATCGTCTGCACAGATTCTTGTATGGACTTAAACAATCTCCTAGGACATGGTTTGGTCATTTTCAGTACTATAGTCCAAGAATTTTGACTGACTCAAAGTGAAGTTGATCGCTTGGTTTTCTATCGTCATTCTGCCTCAGGTTGCATTTATTTGATTGTTTATGTCGACAACATTGTTATTACTAATAGCCATCACCATGATATTACACAGATAAAGCAACATTTATGTCACCATTTCTAGATAAAAGATCTTGGCTGACTTTGATTCTTCTCAGGAATAGACGTGGCACAATCTAAGAATGGCATTGGAATTTATTTGAGGAAGTATGCATTGGATATTTTACAGGAAGTTGGATTGATGGGTGCCAAGCCTATAGACACTTCTATGAATCCTAATTCCAAACTTCTGCCAAGTCAAGAGAAGCCTTTTTCTAATCAGGAGAAACATAGGAGGCTTGTTAGAAAGCTAAACCATCTCACTGTCACTCATCCAAATATCTCTTTTGCAGTCAATTTCTTAACTCTCCTTGTGAAGGATATTGGGATGCAATAATTCACATTTTAAAATACATCAAAGGGGCTCCAAGAAAAGGATTCTTGCATGAAGATAAGGGTCACACTCAAATTGTGGGTTCCTTTAATGCAGATTAAGCAAGCTCCCCCCAATCAATAAGAGATCCACTCTGGCTATTACATTCTTATTGGCAGTAAGTTGATTTCATGGAAGAGTAAGAAACGAAGTATAGTTGCTTATTCAAATACAAAATTACAATATCAAGTTATAGCCTCAGCTACATGTGAACTTATCTAGTTGAAACAACTAATCAAAGAACTAAGATTTAGAGAGATAATGAAAATGACACTCATTTGCAATAATCAGGCAACTGTTGCCTCAAATCTAATGTTTCATGAACGAACAAAGCATATTGATATAGATTGTCACTTCACTATCACTAGCTTTGTCGATTCGAATGATCAACCGGCAGATGTCTTCACCAAATTATTGAGAGGTCCTCATATTAGTAATATATGTGACAAGCTTGAAGCATGTTACCTCTATGCTCTAGCTTGAGGGGGAATTTTAAATATATATAATTATAGTAATAAAGCAAGTGTATATTTGTAATTATGTTAATTACCTAATTAAATATTTTATAGATATTCTATAATTATTGCTATTATCAATGTAAATAAATATATGCGTCATTGTTAGTGGAAACTATTATTCCATCAATGCTCTTTCATTTTTCCTTCTCTCTTAACACTAAGTTATAAGGTGAAGATTGCTTTAACCTTTATAAGGTCTTATTGGTCATATCTTTAGTCAATGTAGGACTTCAACAAAATAAGCTAGAAAAGCTTATGAAAGTTATTAGTTATTTCCATAAGTTGTCCAAAAGCTCTTCTAAACACACCCTAAGTAATATAAAACAAAACAGTTTTCAATGGAAGGAGAACATTAAACCCATGGATAATCTGATACAATATGTTAAAATTTGTTAATGGGAGAAAAATTGAGATAAAGATCAGAATTGAATTAATGTGAATCTTCTACAAAATTCAACAGAACCAATATTTGTATTGGTTAAGCTATACAGCAACATAGCTGTCATGTGACAGCTAACTAACTAAAGTACTAAACTAAAATCCTAACAGCAACCCGAAACACCTAACAGAAGCCTATCTGGAGGTTAGTTACAACTGAATCATATTACTCTAACACAATAGTGTCAAAAAGCATAAAAAACAAAGCAGGGGGTTACCTTACCTGAGCAAGTGTGATATTACATATTATAGCTGTGTTAGCATTTCCCCCTAGTGCAGGTTGCAAAATTCGTGTAAGCTTGCTATCTCGATATGGAACATGACCCCTGCATAAAATATTAAAGTTTCTTGTTTGGTCATTCAAAAATGAAAAAGGCTAAATATAATAATGATAACAACCTCGGGAAAATCACACCGCAAAAGCTAAGTGTTGTAGTTGGAGCCCAAGGCTTTAAAAACCCCACATTAGAATCTCATACTTTCAATGTGAGACTCAAGTCCCATACCTTAGAATTGCATCCTAACAAATAATTTAAACTTACCCTTGACCCTCAGCACCTTCACTCAATTTTTTAATCACAGTTCCCAAAGTCATTAAGCTTTTGTTTATATGAGAACCTTCTTTCAACCGGACACCTTCTGCTCCAGTTTTTGCAGCACGCTCCGAACCAGCAAGATCCACTAAATTCTGGATATAAGAAGAGAATGATTACCAAGTTGAAAAATTACACAAAAAGTAGTCATTTAAACAAAAGGAGAGATATATGCGTGTAAATGCCAGACATGCAAAAACTTTTCCGATAAAAGAGATAACTTGTTAGTTGAAACAGTGACATTAACGTACCAACACTGATACACGGACAGCATCACAGGAGCTGCCACTTTCTTCATCTTCCCTTCTATCCCTACTCTCAATTATCTATTAAATACAAGGTATTAATTGAGTGCAGAGCCAAGCATAAGCACTTAAAAAAAAACATATCATGAAAGAATACTAATTACCATGCGAAAAATAGTATGAGACCTACTGCTGTACAAATTCATATTTGTCTCTCCAATATGTCTATGAGCTGATACAAATGCAAAGCACATAATAAAAAACTAGTCAGCTGAGGGGTGATAGGTTCTCAGTTTTTGTAAAAACAAAATAATAAGAATCTGAACAAAAAGAAAGAAAGAGAATTGAGAAAATTCTTTTATTCAGATTAACATAAAAGACCCTCAAGAGGCAGAATCCTCTTACAAGGGAAAATCCCCTGATCACTCAGAATCACTCAGTTTGCATTATTTTCTCTTCCCTCCTTTCCTTTACAATTTTCCCCTACTTAACTCCCAAAAGAAGCTCTTGTAACTGAATCATTAACCACATATTAACTCCAAATAAAACCAATTGTAACTGCTGCATACATTTTAGACTCCTAATAAAATTCTTTTAACTTACTGATAACACATTAACCACCTATTATTACTGTTTATTCCTCCTAGAATAAACCACCTTCCAAACCTTATTCTTCTCATTAATTATTGGCATGGGCTATCTAACATAGGGGGTAAGCATAAGATATACCAAACAGTACATTGCCTATAAAATATGCTTTTAATGTCTGGGAGAGTGAGACAAAGTGATACTCTAAAAGATACTTCATGAACCCAAGTATACTGCATAGATAAGTATGCAGAATCACACAGAAAAGGTAGCAAGCAAAGGAACCAAACGAAGCAAATTGAAACAGAGGCTCATTTGCATTTCAATCACAGTATGCAGTCCAAATGTGCACAAATGAAAATTTAAACTGCACAAAAATAATGAGTTAAAATGTAAAACATAATAAATATCCAACAAATAAATTACATTCTCCAAACTCCATGAGTTCAACAACTTGCTCAGGAGAGGCAACAATTTCTTCTCGCAGCCCCGCAACATATATCCCCCGCTGTAATTTCAAAGAAAAATGATAAAATATTAAGGTAAGAAATATAACACCAAATATAAGCAAACATCACAATAAATAAATAAATTAAAAACAACCTCTAGATTTTCATGAATCTGCAGTTTTCGATGTTCAGGAGCCAATAAATCATTTATCTCTTCATTATAAATCTCCATGTATGACATTCTAAGAAGAAATTCTCGATCCACATCCTCAAATAAATATAAAAAGAACAGAGGTACAAATTATGCAAGTCAATATCAAAGGAAAATCATGCAAAATCTATAAAATTTAACAATATTATCATAATAGAACAGAGTAAAAAGACAGACTGCAGGATCATCTTAGACGCCCAAAGGATGAAGCCTCATTAAGAACATAATTATCACAACCCGTACTTCCCACAACTAGTAATTCAAAGTACAGATGTACTCCCAACAAACTCTAGTAGCTTTAAATGCAAGGAGGTACCCACTAGACTGTAAGTCTGAAACTATTAATAACCCCGTAAAATACAACTCAAATAACAACATCCAATTCGTTTATTTTTCACACTGTGTAGTATCTCTAAACCACCACCTCTGTACTTTCCTTCTGTTTTATCAATCATCACAATTTCTCAATACATGTTATTATGATTCAATCATCTGCGATACTTTCTTCAAATACAAAGAACCCTAGCATAAAGGACATGTTACGCAAAAAACCATATATATGTTTCACCCTACAGCCTATTTGGCTAAACGAAAAGAAGTTTATTTGTTTCATAAAACACAAAATTAACAATAGAAGGAACAGAGCGATTACTCGTTGAATAATATGAAACAAATCACGGATGGCGAGAGGAATGACTCCTGGCTCTGCTTTGGAGCCTCGCATCGTATAAGTCTTCCCACTATTAGTTTGGCCATAAGCGAAAACAGTACCTTTCAGTTAACAAACCCCAAGTCAATAAACAAATCCAAGCACCATAAACAACAAGAACAAGATATCAAATAAATAGCTATGCAAACCGTTGAATCCACGAACTGCAGCCTCCACTATATCTTTGGTGCGAGCTTCATAGACTTGGGCAGTCTTGCAGTTCTCACTGAATATTTGATCTGCAAACCGTGATTTTAGCTTAATTTGAGTTTTGAAAACAGGTAAGAATGGGGATAAAAAAAATTTAAATGAAAATGAAGAAAGAGTACCGAATTCAAATTTAGAGGAGTGATTAGGAATAAAGATGGAATTGGCAGAGACCCTCCAGGGGCTGGTTTTGGTGTCCTCTGAGGAAAGAGGCCTTATGCGGACGCTGACGTGAATTCTCTCCATCCGCAAATCTAACAAATGCAGTGAGTCACTAAAAGCACTTCAATAAATTAGCACTCACAAATCATAATCCATATTCCATAAAAATGTCATGCATAAGCCTAAAAGTGTTGAGAAACTTAACAACCGAAAGCACAAATTATCACGTCTTTAACAAGTTACAAGGCATAAAACACAAACACCCAAAGCTACATAGTGAATAACCATTGAAGCTTTCAACCTTGTTTGGAGGTCGAAAATGGGGTCTAGGGTTCGACCAAGAGCTGAGAGGAAGGAGAGGCGCAACTCAGTGAGGATCGAACGAAACTGCTTTTTGGAGGCACGCCGTGTATTTTAAATTTCAAGACTAAACTGCACTACTCGTTCTATCGGAAACTGATTTGAGTTTACTTTTTCATATTTATTTTTTTATCCCGCCTTAAAGCCTTGTTCGTTTAGCTGATCTTCTCCGGGCGGGAGAACTACATCACACAGCTCCTTTTTTATATATAAAATAAAATATTCATAATCTCATATTCGTAACGTGTGTTTTATGAATAGATTTTTATGAAACTAAAAAATATTTATTATATCATATGAAAATATATAAGTTATATAGTATTACCTCTTGTTCTAAATATAATATACTCTTAACTATTTCACAATAATTTAAAAAATAATTAACTTTGTTAATGACATAACATTATCAAAATTTGAATTGTTTTTCAAATTTATTCTTAAAATTATTATAATACATAACAGCCTATTTTTATATTTAATTAATTACTTTATCTTATGTCAGAGTATTTTTGTAAAAGAAATAATTTATGCAAGCAACAACTTGCAAGAGATCTTATGAAAGGGATATAAGAAATTTTTCAAAAAGAAAAATTCAAAATTAGAGGTAGTATTGAATGTAAAAATACTCTAACCACGGACAAGGATATAACACTCCCCTCCATTTTAGTACGGATTATAAGAATTAACTTTCAAAATTTTGTTATCTTAATTATAAAAAATAAATAGTTATTTTTAAATATATTAATTGTCAAATTTTCTTAATATTCTGAATTTATTATAAGATTATTTTAACTAAATATTCACCTCTCGTGTATTAGGAATTAACTTCTTCTTTTTTTGTTATCTATTAGTCATCCAATTATTTCTATTTTGTTGTATAAATTTTTTTGTTCTCTTATGCTGTATATCTAAACATTCGGTTGATATTAATATATGATTCATTCATTTTCTTTGTGTTTATTCTGACATTTTATTCTAATTCCTTTTCATTTTTACTACGATGTATATCATATAAATCTCTTCTTTGTTCATGTTTTTGACAATTCAAAAGAGTCGTATATTTCGTTTGATCAATATAATAAGATACAAAATAATAAGATTATATAAAATATATTTAAATGATAAAATTACTCAGTTGTCAAAATTATTAAAATTTTAAAAAATATATATTTAACCTTTTGACTTTTTAATAATATATATATATTAAAAATAAATTATTTTTGTTGACATAGAATATTAAAATTTTAATAATAAACTATAATAATTTTCTTCAATTTTTTTACAATTTAAAATTATTTTAAGAAATTATAATTAAAAACTAATTTATAAAAAAATTAATATTATATTGCATAACATAAGTAAAATATTTTTCAGTAAAAATGTTCGTATGATATTTTTTATAAAACTATCAAGTTATACTTTTTGAATAATTATTTTTTATAAAATATTAAAAATATAAAGTATGAAGTAAAAGGAAAAAAGTTATTATATACTAATGTTTTCTAATTCATTATTTTCTTTAAGATAAAAACTTTAATTATTAAAATAAAATAGAATAACTTAATATAATAAGTTTTCATATTATATTATATTATTTAACAACTACCAAAAATAAAATAAGATAAGATAAACTATTAGGTCCTTTAATCTTAGCCACCAAATAAGAAACAGTACTAAAAACACACGAATTATAGATAAATTTATAAACAGATTTTTGAAAGGTTACCGATAGATTTCATAAGTACAAATAGATTAAACTCGTCTATAATTTATGAATAGTTTTTTTAGTTTATAAATTATAGAAGATTTTTCTATCTGTAACTTACAGACTGTATTTTCTGTTTGTAGACAGATTTTTTTATCTGTAACAATAATTTAGTTTTTTTTATTTACTTGTATAATTATTTATTGTTATTTCTAATTATCACAATAATTTGTAAACATAAAAAAATTATAAAATAAAAATTTTAAAATTATTTAAACAATATTAAATTAAAATGTTATTACAATTCAAGAAGTAAACATCCGAAATAATAATATAAAAAAAAAATAATGTGTGTCATGAGTGCTTAGTGTAATAATCGACAAGAGTGACATCATCATTAATAGAGGAGGAGAATGATGAATGTCACATCGTCTAAGTGTTGTTGGGGTTAGAGCTAGTAAAGGAGGAGGAAGAGGTGTAGAGTTGCTTACTCTTATGAACTCGAAGTATGCATACACCTATGCATGTGTTGTTGTTGCACCTCTCTGTATCATCGATGCCACATTTTTCTGTATCTTTTCTATTTTTTTTGTCCACTTCTTCTTCCATGCATGCACTCTCCTTGATCTTCCACATCTCCTTATTTTTCTTTTGGTCTTCCATGATTATAGATGCCCTACCCAACCATTTAGGATTTTAAAGACTTCTTGTCATTAGATACCAATCTTTTTTTTATTCTCCCTCTTCTAACCATCCACTTAATTAATCCATTTTATCATGTCAATTATAGAGCACTTAATTAGCCGAATATTGAAGCCAAGTCTGGATGGAGTAGGGGTCCAACCCAAAAGAGCCCGACAAAAGAGAATCTTTTAAGGCTAGACAAGAAAACAAAGACCGAAGAAATGACGTAGAGAGGCCGCCTAGAGGACCCCTACCTACACAACCCTCAATACCAAACAGTGAAGGGTGCTCAACCAAGTACTAGCAACAGAGATATTAACCATTCCTAGGCAAGCCAATACCCCTCCTCAACCAGACAAGCCTAAATCCTCCTGATACCACATAAATAGAGGACATACCGCTGAGGAGTGTACGGCCCTGAAAGATCGCATCGAGGATTTGATTAAAGCAGGGCATTTGCAAGGGTTTATACGAACACACCCCCCAGTCACCTTGAAAGGGGAAGGGACCATTACCCCGAGCCATCAAGAATATATAATGATAAAAAATTTGAACGACAGTGTAGCAGGTCAAGAGAGATCCCATCAAGCATTATGATGAACATGAGAAATTCCCTTGTCAAGTTATTAACACTATAGTAGGTGAATTTGCAGGAGAAGGTCTACCAACTTGGCTAGAAAGAGACATTTGACACAAGTCCGCTCTGTCAACCACATATTTCTGGGTAGTAGAATCTGAATCCCCCCAATTACATTTATTGATGAGGATTTTCACGGAGTAGATCTGGTTCAGGACAATCCCATGGTTATAAGCATGGACATTCTTAACTGCAAGGTCTGAAAGACTCTAATTGATCAAGGGAGTTCAGCTGATATCCTGTATTGGAATACCTTCAAGCAACTGGGAATACCAGAAGAGGAATTGAAGGAGTACCATGAACCACTTGTCAGTTTTTCCGGAGAACGAGTGGAGACCGTGGCTGTATTGACCTATATACCTCATTTGAATCAGAATACGAAGGAAAATGCATCAAGGTCACTCACCGTACATGCAAATACTTTGTATAATATACTACTCGGCAGCCCATCTCATAATAAGTTGAAGGTCATAGTATCCACTCCTTACCTAGCTATGAAATTTCCATCTGATAAAGACCGAATTGTTACCGTTCATGTCGATCAAAAGACAGTCAGAGAATGTTATTTTTCAAGCTTGTGTCTGAAACCATTCCAAGGATACAGACGAGATGTTAACATTGTATCCCCGCGGTCAGGAATAGATTTGGATATAGAGCTTGATCCAAAATTGATGAGGGACTCCAGGTTGAACCCAATGAAGACAAAAAACTTTTCCAGCTGGGAAGAAAATCCAAACAGGTCACTTACCTTGGGATCGGGTTGTCTTTGGAGGAACAAAGGGTCCTTCAAAAGTTATTGATGCGAAACATTGATTTGTTTGCATGGTCGGCTTTGGACATGCCAAGAATAGACCCTGAATTTCTGTGTCACCATCTATCAGTCTATAAAGGGGCAAAACCAATAGCACAGAAAAAAAAAGAAAGTTCAACTCAAAAATAAATCTAAGACAATTTTAGGCTGGAGACATGGTATGGAGGACAACAAGAGAAGCACGCCAAGATAGAAGGGAAGGAAAACTTGCTGCTAAATGGGACGGACCTGTTAGGGTTTTAACTCGCTTAGATAATGGTTCATACAGACTAGAAACACTCAAAGGGAAAGTGATATAGCTTTATCGAACACTTATCAAATGCACAAGGTTTTCGCAATTATTTGTAGAATAATGTCAACCAAGGTCGAATTCTCAAGGACACGTTTGTATCTAGTTCTTCTTTGCCGAATTGTTAAAATGAAACAAAAGATTGGGAAATTTTGAGAGTTTAAGAATAATCTGATCAAACGCATAAAATTCTGGAATAAAAGAGAAATCTAATGAGAATTAATTGATCCACAAGTCATAGGTTCATGCAAACAACATCCTTCATTGTTTCCCTAATTTGAACATCTAATCCATTAACTAATTCAATCGAATTTGCTAACAAACTAGATTATGAATTTGACTAATAGATCTATCAATCTAATTCAATTTCATGAATCAAACTACAATCGCAATTCAATTCAATTCCTATCCCCAAAAGTTATCAATATCTTGAAAAACGAAAGAGAAGAGGAGAAAAGAGAATTCAAACTTGGAGCCACTCTGAATCTTCCTTGCAATTCCCTATTCCTTGTGTATCAATCCGAGAAGCCTAGCCTTCCATTGAATCCAATGCTCAGCCAAGTCAAGAAGAGAGAAGAAAACGAAAAGTCACACCAAGAGAAGAGAGAGAATTCGAGAGAGAATTTTAGGAGCCAAAACCGAATTTTTAAAAGTGTGTTAAAACAAAAACCCAAAAAAAAAACCTCTTCAAAGTGAAGCCTCTAACATATTAATAGGCACCACTTATGATCAGATCCAACACTAAAAGGAAGGGCCCACAAGTGTGATTAAACAGCCCAAATTACAAGCTAATGAAATGTTAATACAAATGAAATGAAATTACAAGAACAAAATTCGAATACAAAATTTCCTGCACAATTTTCCTAACTTAAAAAATTCATAGAAAATAGAAAACAGCTTCAATTTGGACGATCTGCACATGAATTTTATAGCCCAGAAAATGAGGAATCCAATGCAATTGGAATTAG